ACCTGTTAATACAACCTAGAATCATATTTGCTTTTTTTGCAACAGCATCACACTGTTGACTCATATTCAACTTGTGGTCCACTATGACCCCTAGATCCCTTTCCGCCATGCTCCTTCCTAGACAGTCGCTTCCCATCTTGTATGTATGGAACTGATTGTTCCTTCCTAAGTGGAGCACTTTGCATTTCTCTCTATTAAACCTCATCCTGTTTACCTCCGACCATTTCTCTAACTTGCTAAGGTCATTCTGAATTATGTCCCTATCCTCCAAAGAAGTCGCAACCCCACCCAGTTTGGTATCATCTGCAAACTTAATAAGAGTACTCTCTATCCCAATATCTACATCATTGATGAAGATATTGAACAGTACGGGTCCCAAAACAGACCCTTGAGGAACTCCACTTGTTATCCCTTTCCAGCAGGATTTAGAACCGTTAACAACAACTCTCTGACTACGGTTATCCAGCCAATTATGCACCCACCTTATCGTGGCCCTATCTAAGTTATATTTGCCTAGTTTATCAATAAGAATATCATGCGAGACCGTATCAAATGCCTTACTAAAGTCTAGGTATATGACATCCACCGCTTCTCCCTTATCCACAAGGCTCGTTATCTTATCAAAGAAAGCTATCAGATTAGTTTGGCATGACTTGTTCTTCACAAACCCATGCTGGCTATTCCCTATCATTATTCTAAGATCTTGGGGGGAAGTTTTATACCTGTTCTTCATAAACCCATGCTGGCTATTCCCTATCACTTTATTACCTTCCAAGTGTTTGCATATGATTTCCTTAATTACCTGCTCCATTATCTTCCCTGGGACAGACGTTAAACTGACCGGTCTGTAGTTTCCTGGGTTGTTCTTATTCCCCTTTTTATAGATGGGCACAATATTTGCCCTTTTCCAGTCTTCTGGAATTTCCCCTGTCTGCCATGATTTTTCAAAGATCATAGCTAAAGGCTCAGATACCTCCTCTATCAGCTCCTTGAGTATCCTGGGATGCATTTCATCAGGACCTGGTGACTTGCTGACATCTAACTTTCCTAAGTGATTTTTAACTTGTTCTTTGTGTATCCTATCTTCTAAACTTACCCTCTCTCTGCTTGTATTCACTACGTTAGGCACACCTCCAGTCTTCTCGGTGAAGACCGAAACAAAGAAGTCATTGAGCATCTCTGCCATTTCCAAGTTTCCTGCTACTGCTTCTCCCTCCTCACTAAGCAGTGAGGATATGAATAGCCGCTATGGTGCCAGTGAGGACACCATGTTGTACTACTGCGTCTAGCACCCTTCCCACAATGCTTGTTTTGGCCTCTCTGGTCTCCTGTTTGAACTCTACTGCCCTGCTCAGGTGATCAACCAGACTAAGACCTAACTCAGCATCCATAGGGGCTTGCAGTCAGGAGCTATTTTGTATCCCAAAGGGGGCGAGCCAATTGCTGTCCTAGGAGGCCATGGATGCTGCAGTTAAGTTGGGTTGGGAAGCACTTAAGCAATTGCCAGGGATGGAAGGATTACAGAAAGGAGGCTTAGTTCTGTGTGATGTTCTAACAGCAGAGGGTTCAGATGGTGAATAGATCATCTTGGTAATCTGCCTCACAGACCTCATTGAAAGCTTCATGCAGCTGATGTGCCACCTTTCTCCTCAGATTAGCTGGCAAAGCAAATGTGGTATTTGACCCAGAAGGCTGCCATTCCTCACCACTGTACCATCAGTAGGGGGAAGGGACTATTGTTGTGCAAAGACAAGCCACGTATGGTCTCAGACGGATCCTGCAGTTAAGTAAAAGAGCTTCTTTGCTTCCCTGCTCACCCTAAGCAGTGAAATGTCTTCGACGATGAACATGGCCTTCAGAAATTGGTAGGGATATGATGGTGTAAATGTGTAAACTGTTAACCAATGAGCCTATGCTCATCAGTTCCTGGATACCCCCCCCCACTGCCTGTGTATCAGAGGTAACAGCTGTGGGGAGGGCAGGCAGGGGCCTGTGCTTGTGGGGAGCTGGCTTTTAAGCAGGCTGTCCACAGACCCCGGCTCCTGTGGAGCCCCCTACACCTTGCACATAAATGTCTACTCACATAAACACTTTTTAACATCCCTAGAAATGAGTGGTAATTACTAAAACTTTTGTCCCCCACCCCACCCCACAGTGGTCTCCCTAAATCACACTTGTGTGGTCATGTGCAAATGAAAACCTCTTCTCCCTAGCAACCTACTGGAGCACACCAAGGGATTTCACTGCGAGTATGCTGCAAGGATTTCCCCTGCTGCCACTACAGAAGTGCCTGCGACATGGCGGTCTTGAACATGCTGTGATAAGAAAATCCTGCATTTATGCTGTAAAAGCACTGGAGGCCAAAAAAGCAACTGTCAGATCATTTAGCCTAGTGGTTCTCCAAGTGCGGTGTGTGGACCACTAGTGGTCCATGGCTACCTCCCAGGTGGTCTGCAGCAGGAGCTCGCTCCTCCTCCCCCATGCAGAGGGGAGCATGTGCTGCTTCTGCAGCCTTGTGGTTGGCGTGCAGCCGTGAGGCTGAAGTATCAGCTTCAGCCAGCAGACAGGGAGGTGAAGAAAGTAAACTCAACCTTCCTTGCCCATGCGGGCTGTGGAGCTACACGTGCAGGAGCACTGCTGCCATAGTAAGAGTGGCACATCCCTCGGTTGGCCCCGTGGGGTAGGTTGCAGGTAGGACTGTGTGGGGCTGGGGTGAGCTCATGTGGTATGTGTGCAGCCAGTGTCCCCCCTTCCCCAGCAGCAGGTTGAGCGTGCCGTGCCCAGCAGCAGTGGGAGGACGCGATGCTGGCACTGAGGACCCTGCACATGCAGGAGGCAGGTGGAGGCTCAGGGCCCTTTGGGTCTTTGCACCCACTCTGTGAGGAGGGGCCAAGCCACCTTGGTGCCTGCTCCCTAGGGCATCATGGACTGCAGTGCTCACACCCTGGGGTCACCTACCTGCCCATCCCTGCCTTGCTGCACACCACACCCAGCCTTCCTGCCCATGCCCCCTCCATTTTCCTGACCCCTTACGCCACCTCGACTCCAGCCCTATTCCTAGGGGCAGGCTACCCCCCATCACTCTGAACCCCCTCAGCCCTCTAGCATTAGCCCCAGGCACTCCCTACCCCCATCTCCCTGCTCAGATACTCTACTCCTAGTCCGCTTCTGCATCCTCCCTCCTGCCAGACTACACTCCCCCTCCTCCCCCACCTCAGCTCCAGCATACACTTGCTCCTTGAACCCTCCCTTGCTCCTGCTTGCTCCTCCTGGCTAGACACCCTACTCCTAGCTTCTTTACCCTACCTCCCACCCAGAGTTTGCTCCCCACCCCCTTCTGCACCCCATCTCCCTCCCAGATCCTGCACCCCATCCCTATTCTACTTGCTGGGAGCCCTGTCCCACATATTGACCCTCTCATTTTTGTCCCCACCCGAGAGCCTAAGGGGGTCCATAAAATCCATGAACACTGGAACCCCAGAAAAGTAAATCTGGGCTATGGGAAGCCCTGAACCTCAGTCCCCTCGCCCTGTGGGGCAGGAGCATCAGAGGAGTGAGGTGTCTCAGTTGGGGGCTACATCAGTGAGAGTTGGGGGTTTGGGAAAATTCTTTTGCTTCTCACTTGTGTGGCCCTGTGACGTAGTGGGGGTACTTGCTGGGCTGTGGTGACCTCTGCTGTCTGGAGCAAGACCCAGCAGGGAAAACCTCACTATGCAAAGGTAATGCCAAACTTGTTGAACCAGACACCCCTCATGGAGAGGAACAAAGGAAGGTGGAATGCTGCCCTAGCTGGGGGGCAGAGCTGGAAGAGGGTTAGTTAGTTGCTGTCTGAGAGCATGGAGGAGAGCCTAGGGAAAGGGGCTGGAGTTTAGGGGCCCAGGCTCTCCCATCTCAAGGGGGCCTGAGGCACCCTAGCCCAGCTCTGTGACCAGACTACATCTGTGCTGTATCCTGGAGAGGCAATAAACTCCCTCTATTCCACCGGCTGGTGCAGTCTGTTTGTGCCATTTCAGGGTGCAGAAGACGGGGGAACCCCAACGTGCCGTCACAGGCCCCCAACTGATTTTTCTGCGGGTCAGTGCAGTGGCCCTACATGAGAAAGGTTCCCCACCCTTTCCCTAAAGAAAACATTGAAACCTTTTGTGTTGGACATAAATATTGTATTTAAAATGAAGTCTCATAAACTCATGTTAAAATTCTTAAATTTAATGTAAACAGATTAAATTAAACCAGCCTCCCTAGCTGCACCACTAGCATCCTCATGTAATTAAGGGTGAGTTTCCACGAGCAACTCCTGGTGGTCTGGGGGAAGGTTTACATTGAGCCAGGTGGGCTAGGGGACAAAAAGTTGCAGAACTACTGCTCTAGCCTGACCAGGGCTGCACCTCACAGGCCTGCCACGCCGAGAGCCGGCCCCTGGCCTGAGACCCCATCGCAAGGGCACCGCTAGCTGGGGAAGGGGGGCCCAGGGCAGCGGGTGGGGCAGAGCGGGGAGCTGCAGCCTCTGTGCCCCTCGCGGCACCCAGAGCAGGGAGGGATGGAATCCTCGCGACCCCCCCTTCTCCCGGCCACGCCAACAAGGCAACGCGATCTGGACTCTTATCGCGAGAGCTGAAGAGCCTCTGCCTTTCTCTCTCTCTCCCCCCCCCTCCATGTACGCGTCGCCATGGCGACCGCGCCCTGGTAACACTGGAAGCTAAGGGCGCGAGCGGCGGGGGAGGTTCGAATGGCCACGTGCCGCAGCAGCCCCCCGGGGAACATGAGCAGCTCCAGTCTCAGTAGCAGCGACGCCAGCGCTCGGCTCATTGACGTGACCAGCAACGCGGCGCCGCC